GGAGTAAAGCCAAAGTATGTACTTTGGTAAATATTAAGGGACAAAATAAAACAATTGTTGGCTAGGCTTCTTTGCACTACCGAGTGAGCAGGTGTGGCGAAAAGTGCCAGTCGATGATTAGCTTTTGACATGGCCTTGGGGTTAATGGCTTGTGTTCCAACAAGTTCCTCTACTGGGGTCCACCCTTGAGGACTACGGGTATATTTACCATATAGCAGCAAACCCAGCGCTGTAGTTTTTCCTTCAATGAGATGGGCTCCCCAGTCGGAACGTTCTAGCGCATGCAGAGTACTAAGGGAAGCAGGGTGATTAACCAGTACACTGCACTTGTTGGAACAACTACACTGGACTAGGAAGAGTGGGTCAATTTTAGTAAGATGCCCTCCGGCTAATATTAAGTCGACCTCCGCTGGGGTGAGACACACAAACAAGTTTGCTCGGCACACTATGGTGGTGGTGCTATACCCTGCTCTGTGGAGCAAGGCCTGCCGCAATGTAGCATGTCCTGGTAACCTTTGTGTCCAGTTCAATGGAGGGTATTGGTCGATCTGACCGGAGCTATCTGCATGCATATTGATTCCGTTGGTTCGCCAACAATGGTGTTCATCTATTTGGATGCCAGCGGATTTCAAGCGGAGGCAGGCTTGCCAGGCATCCGAGAGCCATTGCATGCCTGCTGCAGTATCTCCCACCATCGTGGTGTCATCAACATATCCTTGAACTGTCAGCATGCCGGGGATTCGGTTAAGGTAGGTGAGAACTGGATCCATGGCAACGCAAAAGAGCAGGACTGAAAAAGATCGACCCATGTCAACACCTGTGACAATCATTTTGGAGGGTAACAGTTTACCTTGGACCTTGTGCCTGCATCTTCTAAAGAGGAGGATGTGTCGGGTGTACATGATGATCCACCAGGGGGCTTTACACGCTGATAAAATTTGCAGAATCCAGTGGGGGTTAATCCGCTCGAATGCTTTGGATAGGTCCAATGACAGGCATGCGCATGGTGCATCTTGATCTAAAACTGCTTGAACTGATTGAACTGCACTTTGCGGTTCACGGAAGAGATTTAACACCGTTTGGGAGGGGTGGAGGAGCGGTGCGATGGCTTTGGTCATGACTGCGGCGATGCTTCCATCGACTCTCTCAAATGTCGATGGCATACCCAATGGGCGGAAATTATCAGCGGTAGGACCCATTTTCGCTTTTGGGATCCATGCTTGGACTGAGCAAGGGGGAGGGACCGCAGATCTACAGATATCATTAAGATGTGTAATCATCGCATCAGATGATACCCCAGGGTGGAGTCGCCATGCTGCATAGGGTATTCCGTCTGGACCTGGGGAAGAGTCATTGGTGGTGAGGACAGTTCTGATGAAGTCTTCCGCGCCTGGGGGGGGAACATGTGGCCAGGGTTGGGCTTGCGATTTATACTGCTCCAGGTAGTCTGTCCACTCAGGATCATATATGACAGGCGGTTGGAACCAGAACTTACGGGTAGCAAGCATGGCTGCAGACAAGTCAAGGTCAGTTTGGCACTGGTTGCCTGCCCCGTCCAAAATAGGACCATTATAAAATACCGTTCTTGGGCAGCTAGCTCGCAATCTCTGCCACAAAGGAGCACTAGTTCCGAGGCCACGGCTGCGGGTAGTTTCATCTCTATTCCCAGTGATAAGATGTTGTTGTTGTTGTAACTGTAGATCAAGGAGCTCGAAACATTTCCAAAGGAAGGTACGAGGAACCGTAATGACAGTGGATGATTGGCAATATTCATCCAGGGCAGGGCGGAAGCCTGGAAGGGCGGCCAGAAGCTCTTGTAGCAGTCGCTTAGAGATGTTAAGAAGTGGTCGATCAGATTGGAGATGCTTCCTCAGGGTGTTGAAGTCACGGGGCCGCTTAGGGAGAGACATCCACCATTGCCATAATAATGCTTGGAGGGATTCAAATGTGGGCTGCGAGACTAAGCAAAGTCGGCGAACTAGCGATTGGAGTGACGGCCACACTTGTCGGGTGTCATGTCGGTCCTTGCCCGGTTGGAAAACATTCGCTGGTATGGTCATGTGTAGGGGCAGGTCAAAACTGCTGGAAACGCGTGGCCGGTGGCGCAATTGGATGGATATGCATGCATGCCCAGCAGACTCGAAAAGACGATCATAGAAAACCTGATATTGGATTAGTCCACGATTCATATATTCGGTCGGGAGAATGACCTTGTCGATTGATGACGAGCCATTTGGGCCCCCAGAAGGTTGGTTCATCCTTGACGATGTCGTCGCCCTGGGCACAACTTAATATACGGTGCCATGCGTTAAGGGAGAGGTGATGACTGTGATTAAAGTCTCCGACTATGAAGAAAGGGTCCGGAAGGTCTTGATGATCAGATATCCATCTGGCAAGCGTTTCACAATCTTCTTTTGCGCTGCTGGGATGACAATAGGCTGAAATCACCCAAAAGCAGTCGGTTCTGGTTTGGATTTGTGCAGCAAGGAGTTTACCAGGCATGATGACAATTTCCTGCAGAGTCTAAAGGAGCATGGAATCAATATAGCTACTCCTCCCGACAGGCCTCCATTTTCTGTTGCTATCGATGGGGAGTGCGCAATATAAAACCGGGGTAAGTTTGGAGAAAATTGGTAGCAGTACTTGCCGTCCATCTGGTTTCTTGGAGGCAGACAATGCCATTCCGAGCTCGGCGGAGAACGGCTTGCGTGTTAGGGTTAGTCCATTGCAACGTTCTCCAACCTGATACATTCCATGTGGTTAAATGTCTAAGGCAGTACAGCAATCTTGTTTCTTTTCTAGACGGTATTTAAGGACTTCGGCACAAAGGAGGCTAAACTCCGTGGAGTTGGCCAGTGCTTGTGCAAGGAGTTGTCTAGAATGGGTAAAAAATTCGCTGCGGATGCCACACTTATTAGCCACTGTTTGAATGTCTAAGATTGGCCACGGTGCAGGGATTTGGAGTACATGCGGCAAGAAGGAGAGTGACTGCAAGCAGTATAAGCTTTTTGGACATTTGGTCATAAACTGAAGTGAATACAACGCTCGAATTTGTCGGGACCACGCGTTGCGAAATTCGAGCAGGAGAGGTTTCGCAACCGTCCCTAGGCGCTGCATGGTTTTAAATGACACTCAAACCAGAGAACAAACAAAAAAGGCAAGATCCGGGGGGGCATTGTCCGTGTTCCAGCTGCATGCAAGCTCCTGACTGATCTTTCCAATGGGGTTGATATGTGGAAGATTGTCACTATGCTCTGGGTACTTGAAGACACGGTTGTCAATCGATGCTTTAATAAGGCATGTTTGGTATCCTGCAGTGTCATCAAGCTTCCAGTTATGTGCAGCAGCAACGGCAACATCACCCCATTGTTGATGAACATGCAACCGTGTAGTTCAGGATAAGAACAGGCTGTCGTATGTACACTGCACGAGGCTTGTTCGATAAAACGAGACAAGAAACACACAATGCACTGGTCATAGAGGAATGTGCCAATGAATCGATGACAAATTAGGTATTGCCCTTTAGGTCCATAGGGAACAGCAAACCAGATGCAGTTGGGGTTGGTGCAACGGAACGGGATGGGAGCAGCCGTGAACACTGCAGGTTGAGGCAGTTGCTGCCATGGGATGTCAACTCGAGTGTGACAATTCCACGCAGCTGTGTCAAGGTGAGGGGCAGTCGTGGAGCACCCTTCGGCGAAGGTACCTTAAGCCCCCTTCGAAGGTACCTTAAGCCTTTGCCGAAGGGGGGTGGGGGGACGGGGGGGGGTGAACGAGGAACCGAAGCCCCCTTAAGGTACCTTAAGGGGGCTTCGAAGGCTTCGAAGGTACCTTAAGGGGGCTTCGAAGCCTTCGAAGGTACCTTAAGGGGGCTTCGACGAAGGTACCTTAAGGGGTCTTCGCCGAAGGCTTCGAAGGTACCTTAAGGGGGCTTCAACGAATTCTTCGAAGCCCCCTTAAGGTACCTTCAAAGCCTTCGAAGCCCCCTTAAGGTACCTTCGAAGGCTTCGAAGCCCCCTTAAGGTGCCTTCGTCGAAGCCCTCTTAGTAGTAGTAATAGTAATAGTAGTAGTCTACTACTACTACTACTACGACGACGACGACTACTACTACTACTACTACGACTACTACTACTACTACGACGACGACGACTACTACTACTACTACTACTACTACTGGTAGTACTACTATAGTACTACTGGTAGTACTACTGGTAGTACTACTATAGTACTACTGGTAGTACTACGAGTACTACTGGTAGTACTACTAGTGCTACTAGTACTACTAGTACTACTCGTACTCCTAACCCCGGTTTTTACCGCGGCTCCCCCGATCTTCGGCGTTCGCCAGGACGATCAGCCCCCCCTCCAGCAAACTGCATGGAAGGGATGCTGCCGCAGTGTCCCACGCTGTTGCCCCCGCTTTGGGGGGGGTCTTTGCCCAAAAAGTCCTACAGCATCAGCCGCGAGGCCTGAGGAGGCACGTTTTCAAGACACCACTAATGTAGTAGAGGTGAATGCTGTGGCCATATGACAGCAAAGTGACGCCTAACAAACCAAATCTATTTGTCAGCTAATCCTTGAAACAGGCAGTCCGTCAGGCGGTCCAATAAAAAAATTCTGCTTGTACAGTCGGGGCACGTGGGCTTGAAGTGGTAGGTCATGCAGCACAGAGCCTCGAGCTCCGGAATGTACACAGGCGTAGACGAGTGTAAACGGTGGATGCACAGATTGCACACCAAGACCACGTCCTGCAGCGCGTGACTGTGAAAAGGCTTGCCATGGCATGGTTCTGGAAGGATGTCATGGAACAGTGTTGGATGCATGCGTCAATCTATGTTGGTTGCAAGCACACAGATACTAATACTATGGTGGCGCCATTGCAGAATCAGAGCCGTCAACCCTCTCACCCAACCAACTAACAGCCCGGGGTACACACCTGACCAAAAAATGACACCAATGGCTTCCACCGCACGCAGTCCTTGAGGAAAAAATCCCGGACCTGGTTGCACCGCTGGACGCAAATTTGGCGTCGGCCCAAGCCCACAGCGCGACAGAGACTGCAAGCGTATTGGCCAAGGCCCAATGCGCGCACGTTCCAGGCATAGCCAACCCAAAGGGGTTGCCCACGCTGCGACGGGACGAGAACAGAAGTTTCCACCAGCTCACGTCGCATCGGTGGGCCCGGCGGCAAAGTGATCGACCGTTCATTTCTAGGTGGCGCTCTTCGAAGAATCCCTGGACCCGGCCGCGTGTCGGCGTGCGGGAAAAGGCCGCCACCAAACATGGCCACCGGCTGCCGCCTCTCTCGTTTGCCAGTCACCCGGCGACGGACTTTCGGTCGGTCCAGCTCCTAGGCAACGAACAAGGCACTGGACCGCGCATGTGACCTTCCCACATAGCACACTGTTTCACGCAATTCAGCACCAGGAAAACCAACACGCTGGATATAACAATGACAACAAGCGACCTTCACAATTTCTTCTACAAGAGATGGATAAAGGCTACAACATAATCAACCGAAAACCAACAGCAACTGGTTGACCCCGGGTATAAACCACAGGTGGTTGCCCAGAAATCTTAGGAATTTATGTGTGTGTATACGTATAATGATCATTAATTGTACTGAAGATACGTGCAAAAAAAATCAGCATGCAATGCATCATATGCCCAGGCACGACTTCTGGCGGGGGCTCCCGGACAAACAGCTCCCCGACAGGCAGCCGGGGACAAGGCTCCGACCGGGGCACACAGTGCCGGTTCGTTGTGCGACCGTCCGTCCCCCACACCTGCCAATGACAGCCCAAGCAGAGCACCCAGTACTTCTGTTTACCGTGCCGGCGCCATTTCACGTCCTCCCATTCCTGCCGGCAAGGGGCGGCGCGAAACAGTCAACCGGAAAAAAAAACTTTGACGACTCCGACTCCACCAGTGTCACAACAACACATAGTCCTGCCAGTTGTCGGCCAACTCACGAGTTCGAAAGGACGAAAGCCAGCGACCGCAAGAGCACTTCGGCCCGCCGCTGCCAACCATATTGCAAAAGAGACAGCTGGAAACACAAAACAGCTGCGACAGCCACAGCATGAACTCTGGAGAGGGTCTCAACCTGACCTTGTGACATGCATGTCATACGACCGACAAACAAATCCCTTTCACGTAAGATTCTGATATGCTGGATGACTGCCAACCAAAGCCCAAGCATGTAAAGTCTCGCAAGGCAAAAAAAATCTTCAAAAACAAACAGCAACCGGACCTTGTTACATGCACGTCGGTTCGAAAATAAATCCCTATCGCAGAAGATTCTGATAAATATGCTGGATGACTGCCAACCAAATCCCGAGCATGTAAAGTCTCGCAAGACCAAAACAAATCCTCAAAAACAAACAGCAAACGGACCTTGTTACATGCACGTCGATTCGAAAATAAAACCCTCTCGCATAAGAGTATGACATGCTAGATGACTGTCAAACACATCCCGACCACGTAAAGTCTCGCAAGGCCAACGCAAATCCGCCAAAACGAACACCAACCGGACCTTGTTACATGCAGGTCGGGTGAGAAACAAATCCCATCACATAAGAGTCTGACATGCTGGATGACTGCCGCCAAACAAATGCCATGCATGTAAGGTTGCGCCGAAAAAGATGTAGGAAAGATAGATATGGGGTTCCTAGTCTCGACATCTGGCATGAACATGTCTTTATGAACCTTGAAGCCCCCTTCAAGCCTCCTTGAAGTCCCCTGGAAGATAGAAGGAACACGAGACTTTAAGGCAGAAAAATTTAATATTTCCATTACATTTTAACCATAGCGTGTCATGTATTATGACTGAAATAGGCCAGGAAATTTGAATCTTTCCAGTATACAGCAACTATACCATGTACTGTATAATGAATACTACAATTGGACCATAATATTTTAATACTTCTATACGTTATACTATGTATTGTATGATGAGTACTACAATTGGGCCAGGAAATTTAAAAACTTCCATCATATATTAACTATACACTGTGTTGTATAATCAGTATTTCAGTTAGGAAAAGAGCAAGAGGGGAGCAAGAAGGAAGGAAAGGAAAAGAGCAAGAAGGAGAGCAAGAAGGGAAGGAAAAGAGCAATTGGTCCGCCACTTCCCACCATGTCGTTATTGTGACTACTGGGATTGGCAAAACTACCTATACAGGAGCCAACAAAAGCTTAACAAGCACCCACCAAGTCTCGGCCCACGGCGGCTCACCCAGGTCGCCTAAGTTTGCCTTACGTGAGCCAACATAGGCGGAATATCTGGCCCACTGCTACTCTTACCCCTACTCCCACGCAAACTGAAAGTCCTGTGCCTGCCAGAGAGGTGACTTGCACACATCACAACATTCCATGAGTTGTCCGTTTTTCTGACACGACCGCACTCTTTCATGACTCTAATGAAATTTTGAATATGTATTTCAGAAAAACGAAATGAACTCATAATTTCATATAAATATCAGTCGACTCATCGCTATGTATTTGTCATTGCATTTGGACAAAGATGTTTCGAATTTACTCAATCGAATACGTTTATATCATATCCCATACCAGAAGGTACATTGAAGCATGCCTGCAGCATACAGCAGTCTGTATGGCTGTTGGGTAGGGGCTCGTTACAAGGATCTGGCAAGAGGGGGGGGAGCGGGAAAAAGGGGGAAACAACCACATGCTTCTTGCCTAGAAAACTTGGAGTCCATTACGTGGGGCACAATCTTTTTATAGAAAGGGGTCTCCATAGAGAAGGTTTGTGATCAGGCAGAACGTGACACAGCATGTGGCTCACGGCCGCAAAAGGCCCTTTTTGCGCTGAAAGTGCCAAGTGAGCATCGCTGCTTCGGCACCACTACGGACCGAGATTGCAGCCCGTCCGCGGCGGGACACTAGGCTGCGGGCGCAGCGCTCTACCATGCTCATCTTCACCTTCCGAAAACAAAAGAACGAATGAAATGTTGCAGAACTCGCCAAGGAGACAGAAGTACGAGACCGCAGCTCCAACAGGAACAGGTGACTCGGAGGAGTCGTGCAGCAAGGAAACAGTGGAGGGTAGCGGCACCGCTTGCACATGCTCGATCCAAAGAACGGCGCGTACCTGTTTGTGAAGCCACAAGATTGCATCATCGTATGCCTTGCTGTGGCCCAAATCATAGTTGTAGATCGGCAACCACGCATCCTTGTCTTCCTGGGCCTGGAAGGGCAGATGGCATTTAAAAAAAATGGCGGAAGCAGAAACAGGAACCATTCGTGAAAACGCCAAGAACAGACAGACATGGGGCATGCGTTTCTTGCACAACAGTAATACGAAAAACGGAGTTCCTTGTCCATAAAGGTGTCAAACTTCATCAGAGAAGCATCAAACGAGGTCTCTGGCTGCTGGGGCAACCCCAAGACAAAGAAGGCGAAGTCGGCCAAACGCTCGCGCGCTGGTCGGTGGCTCCCGCAAGGGCAGCTCAACAACACAGTAGGTAGCTGCCGGTATTCGAAGACTGGGACCGTCAGCCCGTCTCGGAGTATAGCCTCCAGCAGTCGAAGCAACTGGGAGCCACGAGCGTTGACATATGAAGTGATGGTGTGGGCGTCAATCTCAGTAAAGTGGGCAATAGCGATCAGCGCCCATGCTGCTCCAGCAGGCAAAAAGTCTAGCAAGTGACACGTCAGCACGACAGCTGGGAGCTGTAGTAGCAACATTGTTGGCACAACGTGGTTCAGAACAAACAAACTTTGAGCCGCTGCTGCGCAAGGGTGATAAATACGCAAAGAAAAAAACGTTCCTACAGCCCATCATCACAAGCAAAGCTCTTGGACACCAAGAATCACCACGTCAACAGACAGATGGAAATTCAACACAAAACAAATCGTTTTGCAAGCGGTGCGCGCAGCCAGGTGTTCCAGCAAGCAAGCCGGTGAAACCGTTGCAGCTTGCAAAGAAGATTTGTTCGAACAGAGGCACTGAACTGCATTGCTCGCAGCAACCATCAAAGGCATCCTGTACAGAAGGGCTGGAAGCTAACGCAGAAATGGATGGCAAAGAGTAATTACTCCGCTGCATTCTGTCGCTGAATTAGGCCTTGGAGTTTTGCTAAGAAAGCAGCCATATCTTCAGGTTGAGGCGGCATGTCCGCAGCCGGAGCCGTGCTGGGGCGCTCCGCATCCAAGTTCGCACCGACATACTCTCCAACCCCAAGGCCAAGGGCAGTCAAGATATTCACCGAGATGGCGTAGCTGCCACTGCCCACCTCCAATGGACGCTTCCTGAACCAGATCACTGGTGTACCGTGGGAATTGGTACCCATGCCGGCAAAGCCAAAGCCTGCAAAGTACAAGGCTTTTGCGGCGAGGCAATACAATTGCAGCTGCTCTGGGCTGCCGAAGGTTCGCAACGCATTTTTGCAGCTGGCAACTTTCAGAATATTCCCCGACTCGATCCAAGGATGCCGAGCACGCAGGACCGCTCGCATGATTTCCAAAACAGGGTGAATTCGTGGAGGCTGAAGCTGTTCCAAGTGGCCCTGGTTGGTGGCCAAGACCGCAAGCAGTTGTTGCCGCACAGTGGCACGGCCACCCCCGCCCACAGACGGTTTTGGGGCTGCATCACCTCGCTGCAGGACATCGGCGACGAAGTCAGCCACAGTTCTATCACACTTGTCCATGTAATCGGACAAAGCACGTCCCACCAACATTGCAGGTAAAGGAACGACAGTGTTCCACTCATTCACGGCATGGCCAAGGCGGCTTTCCTCGCAGAGATGCAGAGCGAGGGCATGGCGGAGATGCTTGGTTTTTGCTTTGGAATGAAAGTGGCTTTCCGCCAATCGCTGCAGGTGTGCCGCTTCCTGCTGCTGAGTGTGATAATCAAAGCGGGCTTCGAAGTCTCGCAAGGCCTCGGGTGCTAGGGTGTAGACCCGCCACTGGTAGCCCGCATGGTCCTCGAACAGATGCGCTGGGGCAGCATGCAAAGGGTCATGTGCGCGCCAGGCCCGGGCAAAACGTTCCCGAAGACGTTTTTCGAGACCATACCTGGACAGGCATTCGCGACTGGACGCAGAAGCCAAAAAGCGAAAGCAGATTAGTGTACCGGCTGATGTACAAGGCAGAACTAAAGCCGAACAATGGGCATACGTACCCCCGCGGAGAATCAAAGTTTCAACAGACTTGCAGACATACCACCAACGGACTTACAATGGTTTTTATCGGTACACATTTAATGTCGCCGAACAGCTGCAAGCAAGAAAGAGTCCACTACTGCTGCCTTAACATAGAAGCTTTCCTGCATTGAGAAAAACCTTTCACACCAGAAACGGTCCCATTGCCCACACCCAAGGGCACAGCCTCTCCGCTGAAATCGCTGCAGCCGCCGCTTCAACCTCCCGGGCTCGTTTGAAAGTCGCCCGGGCATAGAACAGACCAAGGCGCCCTCGGATCCCCAACGGATCGCCGGAGACATACAGCTCCAACACGTCCTCGATGTGCAGGGCGCCAGAGGCGAGGAAGAACGGGAAGGAGACCACGAAAGTCCGCTCTGCGTTCACGGTTGACCTACGGGCAGATGCTGTGGTCATCGCAGAAGCACACCACACCAAAGGAGAAAGATTGAGCAGCAGCAGCAACAACAACAACAACAAGAAGAAGAAGAACAAGAAGAAGAAGAAGAAGAACAAGAACAAAAACAAGAACAGTCAGGCTGGCTGTAAGGAATCGAATGCGACAAGTACACAGACCAGAAATGGTAAAACTAAAAACTCCGAGAATAGAAACGGAGCTGCCATGTACGTGCACGGGGCCTCTTCCACCGACTGCGTTCAAACAACTCCACGACGATGGACTCATTAATGGCGCCCTCGTTCTTCAGCCATTGCAGCAGCCGCTTGCCTGAACAGAACAACCCGAACCCGTCACGAAGAATACGGCATGAGATTTGATCCAACATGGAAAACAGCGTTTGGCCTTCGGGTAGGAAGCCGCAGCTGCGGGAGAGGTTTTGAGGCAGCGCCATCAGCTTTCCCTCGCCTTCCAAGGATCCGGAGCCACTTGTGGCACTGACCGACCCAGCAAAAGGGTTGCGCTGGTTACCTTGGCCCTGCCATTGATCACGCAATTGCGCGCGAGCGCCATTGATGTCCTGCTCCAAGAGGTGCCAAACCTGATCAAAACAAGTCTGTATTCAAAACACGCCGACGCACTTTTAGAAGTTTCTTCCCCGCACACCTCGGAGTACAGCCGGATGACGCCACTGGTGTTGAATGCCCCAGGATGAAGAAGGAACCACCAAAGAACGGGATACACCCGCAAGGTGTTCCAGGGAAAGAGCACGGCAGTGGGGCTGCAAAACGATGCAAGCGAGAGCTCGCAGACCATGACATATTGCCACGGAACTTGCATGGCATCAGAAATTGCGCGCCATTCCCGCAGCAGCTCCGGATAGTGCTCCAACAGCAGACCTTCAGCGAAGGGCTCTGCCTCCAAGAGTCGGAAAAGCTCGGTTTTGACAGTCTCGTCCTGGAAAGCACGGCGAACCTGTTCCGCGGCCATGTCGCAACGAAGGCAACCCGACCGCGCCGGGGCACGAAACTGCGGAGACTGCAAGACAAGAACAAGCCAAATCCGAGTAAGTGAAAAACTAAGCTGCAGCAAACAAAAGTTGGGAGACTGAAAGACACAAGGCCTGACGCAAACTGATAGCCGCTTTTTTTCACAGGCAACACTGGTGAACTGTAGCGGTTGCCGGTTGCAGCAGGCCAAGCACAATGCAAATGCCAGAATGCGATTGGGAACAAAGTGAAAAGACGTAGGAAATCTCAAATTCTGATTTGGGCGATAAACCTTTGGCTTGGCAACGCATTTTAAGCCTCTGCACGCACGTTGCGTGGCCACAAGAGTCTGTACAACTTCCAAGCAAGTTCGCTCTGAGGGGCTTCCGCTCTCAAGACATCTGCTAGACGTGGCTCAAGTGGAAAACCCATACCCAGACCCAAAAGGGTGCTGCATAGTTGGGCAAATGGTGCTGCTGCAAATACACTTGCAGATTCTGCCGCAAAGTTACATCTGGGCTCCCCGTCGCAACGACCCAAACATAGAGGCGCAAGAGGTTGCCATAGATTGCTCCTGTCATGTGCGCTTGCTGGCGAGCTGCACGCGGTGGACGACGGCGCGGCCGTCGCGGCGCTACAGCGCGGGGCAAGCCTGCAGCGCGGGGGGCGGCGGCCCACAAGGTGTCCACTTCTTCGTCCGTGATGTCTGCCCACCTGCGGCGTTGTTCCATGGCGCAGGCAACGGAACTGAAAGACGTAATCGCTAGGGTGCTGCACAAGAACCGAAATTCTACAGTGTCTACAGTCAAGCGTGCTGAAAATGGAATGAAATTTAGAGCCTAGACGGCAATTACACAGGAAAAACAAAGCCAAGAAAGCAAGAACACGGAGCAGAACAACCGCTTTTTTGAAACCGGAGATGAACAATTAAGCTATGCTAGCAGCTATACGTACAGATTCCGCTACAGAACAAAGCCTAATTAAGGTGGCGCTGGCCGGCGTTTCAAACGTGGCCGCAGGGCCAGACCACTTGGCGGGGCAGTTCCTCCCTGTGGAACAACATGTGTGTTCCAAAGATCCACCAGCAGCAGGGCATAGACTTCGAGCATCGCGGCACTCATGGACCGAGCTGGGGGAACGAACCTGTCCAACCAGGCATTCCAACTTTCGTTCCACGAGCTATTCAAATGGGCCAGCGGTGGATGGCTGTCGATGTCAACCTCTGGCATGTACAAGCGATGCTCCGGTGTCAAGCATGCAGTGTGATTCGACCGGTGCCACCGATCCAGAACGAATCTGCACTGGGCCAATTGTTGCATGGTTCCAGTGCGGGCAGCACGCTTGCGAATAAACCGGCCCAGCTTGCACGCGTTGTCGTAGATGATGTACCTGATGCTACCACGGTGAGCATAAACTTCTCCAAGCAAGCATGTGACCTGCCGACACCCTTCTTTGCCAAATAGTGGTCGTATGTTGACTACTCTGCCGCAAGCGAGCATGGCGGTCACGACCCCGCCCTGTCGGCGGTAGTAGGTTGTAGCTAATTTCTTCACAATGCCACATGGGTTGTCGTCTTCATCCTCTGAGTCCACTGTTGGAGGAAGCACGTACGGACCAGCAGCGGGGGGCCCGCCGGCAATTGCTATCGGAGGCACCTGTACCTCGGGGCGGCTCTGGCGGTAACATGCGTCACAAAGGTCATAGTTGCAGTCCCCGCAAGTCCAAAAGCTGACGCCAGACACCAAGGCAAGAGCACAATGGTCACAAGCATGATGCCAAACATCATCGCGAAGCAGCCTTTGGAGCGCATGCTCCGCAGGACACCGGGTTGGTGCAGCGGCGGGCCTTGGGTCGCCATCTGCCGGTGCCAACGTTGACGCCCCGGCATGTCGGGCACATGCACGACGCCCCAATGCAGGAAAGGCCAAGCAGCCACAGGGAACGGCTTGATCCACCAGCGGGTGCTGGATGACAGATTCGTCCATGTAACTGCACAGGGCTGCTGCAAAGGAAACTTTGCCATCAACTGCAACACTGGGAATTTGCACACAAACGGAGCAAGTGTGCAGTCGAGCGTAGACATGTAAATGCCGGCGGCGGAGCAGCCTTGCGAGCATCTGGAGGCATTCATCTGCGGGGCCGCGAGGTCGCGGAGCTAACTGAAATTGTAGGGCAACAAGCTCGTTGCGTAACACCGTGTCCGGCCACAGAAGTGTACACACTCTCCAGTATACCCAACCAAACTCAAGCTGTCCACGAAGCTGGGGAAATGTAGGATGGCCCTCCACGTCGCCCAAGAATTGGCAAATGCCAAAAAAAGTGGCGCGAAGCCTCACCACCAAACTTGTGCAGTGCCGCAGCAAACTGGTTGCAACAAAAGAAAAGGTGGTGGTCTTAGGGTGGTTGACGAGCAGCCAAAAGCAACACATCTCTGGTGGTGACACCACCGAAAGAGTTCCTGCTGGGCTACGCATCCAGCACGAAAGGAAGACACAGCCGCAGCGTTCACATCTTTTCTGCTCATAGGTTCCTGTTTTGAAACCACCGGGCCACTGCAGAACGCGGGTTTCGTGGATTGTACCAGGCGGTAGCACCACCCCACAATCAGGGCACCCAACAACATTGCATGGCACATCAACTGGCACATTGGATTCACGTGGCAGCAGCAACCCCGCTTGTAACTTGGCCAGGATGTTGTCTAGAATCAGGTCGGGCGGGACTGCAAAATCATGCTGCCTCAGTAAAGAGGCTGCTTCACGGGCGAAGCCTGACGGGCCACCGCGCTCCAAGGCGATGACGAGCAAAGGCAAGGCTACCAGAGGCAGTGGGTGGACCAGGTCTGCAAATGACGCCATGGAACCAAGACTTGAGCCAGAGCACGAAAAAATAAGTCAGGAAAGAAGTTAACAGCAGCAAAGAAGGGTTAGGTTCGGAATAGTCGTTTGGCTGTGTGGGTAACGAGTAAGCACCACTTTTTCATCGCCTCTAGGGTTCGGACCGTAGCCAAAAATTTTTGAGGATGCCAAAACAAAAACAATTCAAAAGGACACAGGACCGGCCAACCGTAGTCCACACATCCTTCCCAGCGTTGCGTTGCAAAGCAAACTACTGCGAAACAAAAGAGTATGCCAGTATAAGCGAAGCCAACTAAAAATCAGTCCCACAGTTTGGAGCTGCGATACTTACATGTATAAAGCTTTTTGCTTTCGCAACGGGAACCCTCACAAGGGCCCTCACACATTGGCATTTGCGTCGGTGGCCGCTGTTGGGCCTTCGACTGTGAGTGTAGCCTCCGCGTGCAATTTTTCCCAACGCTCACGAGTAATCCATTGGACTGCTGCGCGGGCAACATGAGGTGGAATTCGGATTGGTGGCTCGACAATCTCCAACGCTTCGATGGGCCATGCCCACGGGTTCTTATAGCCCATGGAGCGTACTGCTACAGCATGCTGCCTGTGCTCCTCTTCTGTGAGAGGATGGCTCGGGCCCAATTTCGCCCTGCACCGAATCATGCCTTGTCCGGTCGAGGCAATAGACACCCAGCCGGTGTGGGGACACTTGGAGCCACGAATCTCCAAAGTTTTCTGTCCGGCCATGATTTTGTCCAACCATTCTGGACGTATTTTCAGGATACGCCTCGTATCACCAAAAGCCACCGCTGCATCTACAAAGTCCTCTTTCGCTTTGCCATCTCCTTCAGCAGGAAGTTCGGACCGTTGGAGACGCCACCAAGCGGAAGCAACGCGAAGGAAGCTTCGCGTAGTATTCACATGGTTGCCATCTCCGTTGTCTGACAAGCCGAACAACTCAACAACACGGGGGGGGATCAGGTGGAAATTTGCCAGCAGCACCAAGGGAGAAGCATCTGCACCCATACCCGCCCATGCAGCACACGTTGCCGCAAAAGAGTCTGCGCCCCAATGAAGTAGAGCTTCTTCTTGTGCAGCGGTAAATGACCTCGGGCTGAGTGCGGTGCGTGTGAGTGCATGTCCATGCTCCAGGGCTGCACGGATGTCAAGATGTCCTTCCGACGGAAGAGGATGAGAAGTGAACCGTGCTTTCTTGCGACTGGAAGGCGCTGCTTCGAGATCTGCATCTATCGTGATAACAGGAGGCATCGCAGTGACATTTCCATGCAGGGCATCCCGTATGTCTGCAGAGCCCTTTGCAGCTGCAGCCAAAGCCGCATGCTTTGCTTGGGAGCGTGGCGGCATGGAAGGAAACACAACAAAGAATGGTCGCCGCAAAATGCAAGGAATGGACCTGAGTTCACAATCACGAGTTCACAATCACACAGAGCGCAGCAAGATCTGCGTCTGTTGAAAAACTCGGGATTTATGATACGCAACATCGCGAAGCGAAAACTGTGCAAGACAGGACAGCTCAGCTAAGCGCAAGACAAGCGGAAGCAGCAACAAAGAATGGTCGCCGCAAAATGCAAGGAATGGACCTGAGTTCACAATCACGAGTTCACAAGCACACAGAGCGCAGCAATATTTGCGTCTGTTGAAAAACTCGGGGTTTATGATACGCAACATCGCGAAGCGAAAACTGTGCAAGACAGGACAGCTCAGCTAAGCGCAAGACAAGCGGAAGCAGCAACAAAGAATGGTCGCCGCAAAATGCAAGGAATGGACCTGAGTTCACAATCACGAGTTCACAATCACACAGAGCGCAGCAAGATCTGCGTCTGTTGAAAAACTCGGGGTTTATGATACGCAACATCGCGAAGCGAAAACTGTGCAAGACAGGACAGCTCAGCTAAGCGCAAGACAAGCGGAAGCAGCAACAAAGAATGGTCGCCGCAAAATGCAAGGAATGGACCTGAGTTCACAATCACGAGTTCACAATCACACAGAGCGCAGCAAGATCTGCGTCTGTTGAAAAACTCGGGGTTTATGATACGCAACATCGCGAAGCGAAAACTGTGCAAGACAGGACAGCTCAGCTAAGCGCAAGACAAGCGGAAGCAGCAGCGACCTGAGTTCACAAAGCCGGCATGGAGCAAGTGGTCGGCAGGAAAACCCGCGGTGTATCAGGCGCAGCTGTTTCAAGCCAAACCCCTGTAAGACAGGAAAGCTAGGGCCAAGACCTGCAGTGTAGACAGGGTTTTGACCTCAGTTCCACTAACAGACATGTGTTGAGTTGATGCCGGAGTTGAGTCTTTCTCTGCAAAAATCACCTCAGCTGCCCGCATGGAAGGTTCGCGCGGGCATGTGCAGCGGAAAGCAGCAGTGCGACAGCGCAGCCACAAACACAATACAAACGGGGTGCAGCCGACAACGAAATACAGCAACCAACTGCAGTTTAGCATGGACACACATGAAACTGTGAATCAGCAGCTCGCGTCTTTTGCCACAAAGAAAAACATGTATCGAGGCACTCATCTCTCCGAGAACGAAGTCAAGTCTAGTCGAGCACAATCACTTGGCGCGGCGGAGCTTCGAACACGAGAGCTGCACGTAGGTTGCGGTACGCAAATTGGATGATGAAGTATTCGCGCCCGCGCGACCCTGGAGGGCAAAGCCAATGTCCCGAAGCAGCGGTAGTCTCCGACAGGAACGCCAAGACCGCCACGAGCTCCGGAGCGTGCGCATTGTAAGCTTTGAAACGCTCCACGAGTTCCGTTGGAGACGTGTCACCTGGCTCGTAGGCATCAAGGGCGCCACGAAAGCACGGCAGCACATCTTCCAAGCGATGGTCGAAGCGACAGTCAAAAGCTTCGAAGCGAAGCACAGCACAGGCAGTGCGATTGATAGCAGGACAATATGCACCCGAGAGCACGGCCATGTGAAGACTTTCTGTCATGTGGTTGGCTCTGGCCTGCAACTGGGCCCGTATGGTTTGGAACATCGCGGTCTCAGGCGAAAATTTTGCAGCCGCAAGAAGCTGCAGGAGGGATACCAAAGGGACGAGGTCCGAAACATGAAGGACAGGCACCACCTGAAGCACCGGGAAACAACGGCAACATACCACAACAACAGTCATCACAGCAACAAGAACAGTAACTAGAATGCAACAACCACAACAAAACTCACACACACACGACTTCGTCGGAATGAAACTGCGTCACAAAACGTTTCACAGAGCAGGGCCTGCAGCAGGGACGCCAACATTTTGGTGCCGTGTTGCTTCTTCCTCAGAATTGAGTCATGGCTGGGGAAGGAAACGTTCGGTCCGTCATAGGGCAGCAACAACAATGATAACGACAGAAGATTTTCTATATGTGAATAATGCGGCGAGCTGAATACACCAGCAAAGGTCTGCAGAAAAAAACTTGTGGCACACATCCGCTTGCCACAGTACAGCTGCTAAGTGCAGAACCTGTGTAAGAAAGGCCAGGCCCGGAGATGACAACCCCCACAGAGTTGAGCCTGAATCTCATGTCGTCAATCTAGGTGATCTAGGTCCAAAATGCCTCCAACATGACTAATGTTCCTACAAAGCGGGCAAAGCAGGTTTTTCACAGTATAAGTGGATCTCAACAGGCGGTAAACCGACACAGGCCGAAGGTGTAAACACATGTAAACAGCTTCGGGGGCAGGCACCGGATGCTACGTGGAGCCGCAGCCGGTTGGAGCAGGAGGGGCAGGCCAGAAAACGCGCGGCAAAGAGACAAAACAAAGGAACGGCATAGGATGGAGGCTAGGGGGCACATTTTCAAGGGATAATGACGGGGGAAACTATCGCTCCATTTTTCTTTTGGACTTTTTGCCATAGCTTTTGGTCACGTCGGCGCGAGGGGGCCCGCAAATGCAGACAACGACATTGTTTTTTGAAGGTTTTGCTTGTTGAAGCGTTTTTGCGATAATAGAAAACAAAGGCAAAAAGCATGGTTTTTAACCCGAAGCTGCGCCAAAAAAAAATGCAAACGCCCAAAAAAAAGGATCAAAGAAGACGATGTGTTTTGAAATTAAGTGGTTTGAACGCGCGCGAAGAAAAAAATGGTATATGTGTGCATCAGGAGCTGTAGCGGCGCGCCGAAGGCGCGAAAAAATGCGAACGCCCAAAAAACCGATCTAAGAAGACAATATTTTTTGAAATCAAGCGGTTTGAGCGCGCGCGACGAAAAAAATGGTATATGTGTGAGTATCAGGAGCTGTAGTGGCGCGCCGAAGGCGCGCTTTTTTTTTTGGTAAGATATTTCAGGGAGGCCTTCTCTGCAAGATACTTTGCCTAACTGCGCCGGCGGCGCCGGCCAATAGTCTGTAGTGAGTCCTTGTTTCTGCAGAACTGTTGTTTGACTAGTCTGTAGTAAGGCCCTGTTTCGGCAAAAGCTGCTGCTATTTTGGCCCGCCGGGGCGGCAGATAGTGTGTAGTGAGGTCCTGTTGTGGCAAAAACTGGTACTATTTTGGCCCGCCAGGGCGCCAAACAGTCTTTAGGTACGAGTTTTTGGCGCGACTGGTGCTATTTGAGCCCGCCGGGGCGGCAGATAGTCTGTAGTGAGGTCCTGTTTTGGCAAAAACTTGTACTATTTTAGCCCGCCGGGGCGCCAAACAGTCTTTAGTAAGGCCCCGTTTCAGCAAAAACTGGTGCTATATTTTGGCCCGCCACCCTCTTGGGCACGACGGCCCGCCCATGTGGCCCAACGTAAGCCAAGACAAGCCCATTATGTATTCGAAGGAAGTTTAGAAGTGAAACTTCCGACAATATGGACAGTTGAAAAGCAGAGGTGAGAAAGTCAGAAGAGACAAGATCAGAAGAAAGAAGAGGTAGATGCGCGAAAAGATAGGAAAGTCGCGATTCACTGTGTTTTTCCAATGATTTGTGGCTCCCGAGGATGCACCCAACATGCCCACCTGGACCAGGCGCGGTGCCTAGAAATGCAACCCTCTTGGGCTACATCGGCCCGCCCATGAACAACAACAACGACGACGACGACGACAACGACAACAACGAAAACAACAACAAATGCAACCCTCTTGGGCCACGACGGCCCGCCCATGTAGCCCAACGTAGGCGCGGTGCCTAGAAATGCAACCCTCTTGGCCCACGACGGCCCGCCCATGTGGCCCAACGTAAGGTCCTGTTGTGGCAAAAACTGGTACTATTTTGGCCCGCCGGGGCGCCAAACAGTCTTTAGGTACGAGTTTTTGGCGCGACTGGTGCTATTTGGGCCCGCCGGGGCGGCAGATAGTGTGTAGTGAGGTCCTGTTGTGGCAAAAACTGGTACTATTTTGGCCCGCCGGGGCGCCAAACAGTCTTTAGGTACGAGTTTTTGGCGCGACTGGTGCTATTTGGGCCCGCCGGGGCGGCAGATAGTCTGTAGTGAGGTCCTGTTTTGGCAAAAACTTGTACTATTTTAGCCCGCCGGGGCGCCAAATAGTCTTTAGTAAGGCCCCGTTTCGGCAAAAACTGGTGCTATATTTTGGCCCGCCACCCTCTTGGGCCACGACGGCCCGCCCATGTGGCCCAACGTAAGCCAAGACAAGCCCATTATGTATCCGAAGGAAGTTTAGAAGTGAAACTTCCGACAATATGGACAGTTGAAAAGCAGAGGTGAGAAGAGTCAGAAGAGACAAGATCAGAAGAAAGAAGAGGTAGATGCGCGAAAAGATAAGAAAGTCGCGATTCACTGTGTTTTTCCAATGATTTGTGGCTCCCGAGGATGCACCCAACATGCCCACCTGGACCAGGCGCGGTGCCTAGAAATGCAACCCTCTTAGGCTACAACGGCCCGCCCATGAACAACAACAACGGCAACAACAACAACAACAACCACAACAACAACAACAAACAACAACAAACAACAACAACAACGACGACGACGACGAGGACGACGACGACGACGACAACGACAACGACGAAAACAACAACAAATGCAACCCTCTTGGGCCACGACGGCCCGCCCATGTAGCCCAACGTAGGCGCGGTGCCTAGAAATGCAACCCTCTTGGCCCACGACGGCCCGCCCATGTGGCCCAACGTAAGCCAAGACAAGCATAATATGCACCCAACATGCCCACGTGGACCGGGCGCGGTGCCTAGAAATGCAACCCTCTTGGGCCACGACGGCCCGCCCATGTGGCTCAACGTAAGCCAGCACAAGCCCAATATGCACCCAACATGCCCACCTGGACCAGGCGCGGTGCCTAGAAATGTAACTCTCTTGGCCCAATCTGGCCCAACGTAAGCCAAGACACGCCCAATATGCACCCAACATGCCCACCTGGACCAGGCGCGGTGCCTAGAAATGCAACCCTCTTGGCCCAATCTGGCCCAACGTAAGCCAAGACACGCCCAATATGCCCCAACATGCCCACCTGGACCAGGCGCGGTGCCTAGAAATGCAACCCTCTTGGGCTACGACGGCCCGCCCATGTGGCCCAACGTAGGCGCGGTGCCTAGAAATGCAACCCTCTTGGCCCACGACGGCCCGCCCATGTGGCCCAACGTAAGCCAAGACAAGCCCAATATGCACCCAACATACCCACCTGGATTGGGCGCGGTGCCTAGAAATGTACCTCTTGGCCCACGACGGCCCGCCCATGTGGCTCAACGTAAGCCAACACAAGCCCAATATGCACCCAACATGCCCACCTGGACCAGGCGCGGTGCCTAGAAATGTAACCCTCTTGGCCCAATGTGGCCCAACGTAGGCCAAGACAACGCGGTGCCTAGAAATGTACCTCTTAGCCCACGACGGCCCGCCCATGTGGCTCAACGTAAGCCAACACAAGCTCAATATGCACCCAACAGGCCCACCTGGACCAGGCGCAGTGCCTAGAAATGTAACCCTCTTGGCCCAATGTGGCCCAACGTAAGCCAAGACAAGCATTTTTTCTCGCGACTCGAGCTTTGACTCCACCCTGGCGGCCGCGGCGACGGCTTTACGCCCGCCCATGTGGCCCAACGTAAGCCAAGACACGCCCAATATGCACCCAATGTGGCCCAACGTAAGCCAAGACAAGCATTTTTTCTCGCGACTCGAGCTTTGACTCCACCCTGGCGGCCGCGGCGACGGCTTTACGCCCGCCCATGTGGCCCAACGTAAGCCAAGACACGCCCAATATGCACCCAATGTGGCCCAACGTAAGCCAAGACAAGCATAATATGCACCCAACATGCCCACCTGGACTACTACTTCTACTACTACTACGACTATTCCTACTACTACTACTACTACTACTCCTGCTGCTGCTGCTGCTACTACTACTACTACTTCTACTACGACTACGAGTATGACTACGATACGATTACAACCCCGACCACTACTACTGCTACTACGACTGCTACTACTACTACTACTACAACTACTACGACTACTACTGCAACTACTACTACAACTACTACTACTGCTACTACTACTACTACTACTACGACTACTACTAGTATTACTACTACTACTACTACTACTTCTACTACTGCTACTACTACTACGACGACTACTACGACTATTACGATTACTACGACTACTACGACTACTAGGAGCAAGGGATCTTAAGGGCTTCAAAGCCTTCGAAGGTACCTTAAGGGTGCTTCGACGAAGGTACCGTAAGGCGTCTTCGCCGAAGACTTCGAAGGTACCTTAAGAGGGCTTCAAAGGCTTCGAAGGTACCTTAAGGGGGCTTCGAAGCCTTCGAAGGTACCTTAAGGGGGCTTCAGCGAATTCTTCGAAGCCCCCTTAAGGTACCTTCAAAGCCTTCGAAGCCCCCTTAAGGTACCTTAAGGTGGCTTCGAGCGTTGAAGCCTTGGCTGAAGCCTTTGAAGGTACCTTAAGGGAGCTTCGAAGGCTTCGAAGGCACCTTAAGGGGGGCTTCGAAGGCTTCCTCAACGGACCTTCAAATTCAATTTCTCAAGCTCCCCCCTTAAGGTACCTTCCCGAAGGGCCTCTCACCGACTGCCTGGGGGCAGTCGTGGAGCACCCTTCGGCGAAGGTACCTTAAGCCCCCTTCGAAGGTACCTTAAGCCTTTGCCGAAGGGGGGTGGGGGGACGGGGGGGGGGTGAACGAGGAACCGAAGCCCCCTTAAGGTACCTTAAGGGGGCTTCGAAGGCTTCGAAGGTACCTTAAGGGGGCTTCGAAGCCTTCGAAGGTACCTTAAGGGGGCTTCGACGAAGGTACCTTAAGGGGTCTTCGCCGAAGGCTTCGAAGGTACCTTAAGGGGGCTTCAACG